CAATTAAATGACGTTCTTGTAGCTTTGAATATCTCACTATCGTATCGTGGTCGTGTTTTAGTGAATTTCTTGGAGGTATGGATAGTAACATAGGCATTACGGTAAGCTAAGGTATATTATTCGGTTTTTTTATTTAAGGAGCCAAAATAAACAACGAATTTTCTAAATGTGTAGGAGTAAAATGTAGACATAGAATCTGTGAAAAGGTGTAAAAATAAAGAAATATAGTGCATATTTTGTAAGCCAAGAACCATTTGAACAAGTATATAAGCGAGAACATCCAACTAGAAATATGTATAATGTAACGTATAATTATGATTCTAAATTTTGTCATTTTAAAAAGTTGTATTTATTTTCATACGTGTAATTTGTATCCTCGTAGTAATAGTTAGTAATTCAGTTTCAATCGTAGTGAACTGTGTTTGTATATTGTTTAGAACAAAAGTGAGGTTGTAGAAGTTGACATCTTGAAGGTATTCTTACATTTTATCATTAATAAAAAAAAATTAAATCAATAGATATGATTTAGCCCCTGAGCTGAATTGATCACTGTAATATAATAATACAATTACCTCGTCAAAGCTCTGAAGTTTCCGTTTATTTCGGCATCAAAATGATTGTAATTGTATTATTATATTATAGTCAAATTTTAAATATCCCTGAGAGATTTCTTTAATTAAATTTAAGAACCCATAAAAATTTGAATGTTCTACTTTTTTAAACTTTTTAAATAAAATATAGTATACTGTATTAAATATGGCATGATTCAAAAGTATCCAGATATCCGCCAAGTGCTAAGTGGTAAGTAATTAATTGAAGTGATATTTTGCGAAAAAAAAATAGTTCCTGTTAGTCATCATACACGTACCAAGTTGAAGTTGGCACATCAGAATGGTTCCAAAGTTATGGGAAGTTATAATAAAAATACATACACACAGACACAGACAGGAGAAAAACGAAGCGAGATGGGGCATATGTTTAGTGGATATTTTTGGTTTGATTTTACCTAAGGAACATGCCCACGGAGTGTTGGGAGAGAGTTTCGAAACACTCTGTCTATTAGAATAGATTCTAAATTACCAATTGAAAGCTGCATAAATAAGTTATGGCTATTTTTATGAAAGTTTCAGTGAATCCCAATTTAACTTCCAAGCAGAGTTTAAATTTTTGGACTAATATTATTATGTACACGCGTTTTGAGTAATTTTCATTAAGACAGTGACTCTGAGTTTGATTTAGAAAACAATTAAACCATGAGCGATAATTGATCTACAAGGAAATACCCTTTGATGTTTAAATTAAATGATTTTCAGTTACAAATTGTATTCAATCTCCTGATTTACTATAAACTACAGCTTACCCCGTGACGAAAACTCGACCGAATGTATGTATTGTACAAACTGCTCTATTTTCACCCAACGCTGTAAATAAAACTGTGATTGGAATTTCTTCTATTTGTTTAAATTTTCTGTTTATATTTTGTTGTTATTTCATCACCAATATGGCAACCCATAAGGCCTAAGTTAATTTAAGTTTATTAACTTTTTGTGCTTATTATGAGCCTATTTTAATTTAAAAAGGGATTATGCACACCTAAAGCCAAATATCTTTCTAACAGTATGCGTAGATTTTCCCTGCGATGCATAGGAGCAGAGAAAAAAGGTTTTCAATATATATGATTGTCTATAAATATAGAGAATTAGCCCCGTGTTAAATCCCCAAAAGAAAAGTTCAATTTCCATGTTGAACCAATTAACATAAATATTCTCAAAATACAAATAAAACCTGTACATATAGGATCGATAACCTTTCTTTTGGTACAACCCACGTGTAATCGGTCCAGTAGTATGGCCAGGGTGGCTGTCGTAAGCTTACTAATTTGGTCCCATATTAAATCTCTATAATGAAAGTTTAATTTCCATTTGTTGACCCAATACATAAATATAAATATTTTCAAAATGCAAATAAAACGTGCGCATTTTGGTCCGATAACCTTTCTTTTGGTATTAAATGACGAAGCCAATATGTTAAAAAAATGGATTTAACACTACACTTTCTTCTCATCTATCTATTGAAATCAACTCTATTTAAAACTTTGTTTGGTTTCAAAACAAACAATTAAATGGCAGGAATCAGTTCGAGGGAGAAAATGGTGTTTTTCTGCTAGTAAATCAGGCAGCCTGTAAACCTATACTCCTAGACGTTTACAGGCTGTCTGATGAGTATAACGTGAAACACCGTTTAACCAGTTAATCAAATATCTCTGGCCTGCATGCTTTAATTTTATACGTTTAAAGGATTTTTCCCAAGCTATCTGCCAGCGGCTGTGGTTACTGAAATTTATTTATTGTCGTTGCAATTACGACAATGTGTTGATATGTGCATGCAGCTTCAATCTTACGAAATTGTAATGTACGTGATCCAACTAGCATACAATCGTATTGCTAACATGCTTTTGGGATTTTTAGATAAATAAATAAAAACCAAGTTACTTTAAAGCATGTTTTCGTCTAAGAACATATTAATTAATTACCTTTTAGTAGTAAATATGTTGACCATTCTATGTCACTGTATTTTTAAATGGTGACGTAATTCAAATTAAACATTTTGTTATTACAGTACACATATAAGATTATCTGTACCAGATACCACATATTTTGTTGCATGAATTTACTGAACATCTAAATTCTGATAGTCTGACCTGGTTGAAAGGAGAGTAGGAATGTTTTGATGTAAGGGTGGGTTTAAAAGGAGGCAACATAAACTAAAAAAGAGCTTCAAATTTTACGATTGGAATAATCAATTCAGACAAATGGAAATTCGCTTAGTCGGCAGGTTTGTTGCGGTGGGGGTATTTTATTATTGTCAAAGTCAAAGGTTTTTACATTATGTTCGAGAATGGTATTCAAAGTCGACTTGTGTTGGTTAGTCTTTGTCAATACCATTCTCGAACATAAATGTAAAAACCTTTGACTTTGACAATAATAAAATAACCCCTCCGCAGCAAACCTGCGGACTAAGCGAATTTCCATTTGTCTGAATTGATTTTCAATTAAATCTACTTAAATAACAGTTGCTGCTATAAAGAAACTAATAAAGTGTATGTTTTAGTAAAATATATTAAAAGCTTTGTACAAAATGCCAAGTTTGATCAAAATATATCAACAAACAAGCAAACTACATTTAACATGTTTACAATATTCTTTATAAGAATAACATGGGAATTTTAAATAATTTTTTTTTTCTCCGTTACCAATTTTATTTGTTTTTTAGCTTTTTTAAAAGGTCTAAAGCGAAATTGGGAAACTTTGTGTTTTGAGGTAAAAAATTAGAAAAACCAATATATAGCCCATAAAACCCAACGTAAAACCCCGTTCCCGTGGTCCGATCATGCTGGTTCGCGAACTCATTCAAGTGTGTCTCGCATTACACCTTTAAACCAAATTTCATCAAAATCTGACAAAAATTACTTAAGTTATCGTGTTCACGGACGTACATATATAAAAATTATAACGAATGGTGTTTTTGGCCTCTGGAGACATCAAAATGTAATAGCTACTTCCCTATAGGGAAATTCGTTAAAAAAGTAATCCTTTTCACATTGTACATTCTTATGTAACATAACTGAGCTAAAACCAATTATAACTTACCGCACCATTCCTAGCAGCTAACTTGGCACTTTTAAACTCCCCGGCTCTTAGCGGGCACTTGACTTCAATAATAGCGTCTTCCCCCACCAGTCCATCTGTTAAGTTTTGGTTAATGTATAAGTTTTGGATAAGTTAATACGTTCCACAGTTGTAACTGTGTTCTTAGCTTAGCTGTTTATTTAACGGATCTACGACTTGTGTTGGTGTCTGTCTGAATAGGAGGAAGACAAATCCATCCATGGAAGAATACTATTTTTCCTGTTTGTCTACATTATAATAGATAATATTTTAAATAGATAAACACGTTCAATTGTAGTTGTACTAATCATAACTATTAATTTCTCTATTAACACTTATACAGAGTGTTCACTGACCTGGAGTGGCGGCTAGGTAGGGCAGCTCCTTGTCTATGAACACCCCAGATCGTCTACCCCTCACCCCATGTCGCTCCCGCAGCTCTTGTAGGGCTCGTCGCTGAGTGCTCAGGCCGTGCCGCGTACACGCGTTCTCCACGTTGTTGTACAGGATGTCGTACACGGCGTGCCTGTTCATTTTCCCTTTGTCCTCCTTAGTCGTACAGACTAAGCCAAAATTAGAAGCTGTTAACCGTTTTCTCCTCTCCTTACGCCAAACTTGACATCTTTCCTGGTCTTTCGTGGTTTGAGCGAGGTGATCTCTTTTATTTAACATTGTCAACGTCAAGTCTTTTAATAAATCTTCTTTCTTGCGTGTTAACTCTCGCATCTCTATTTCCTTTTCTTCACGATTTCTCTTTCGCCTCTTCGATTTTTGATCTGGATTAGCAGATCTCTTTACTCTTAGCACTTCGTAGAATATTTGGTCAGTAACTGAAGAAATAAAAGAGCAATAATAAACTTATAGAAAATAAATTAAAAGGAATAAAAAAAATATAATATTGAATAAAAAATTAAAAAAGCAAAATCCTATTTTCAGTTTCAATAATAATTATTTATTGTTTAAATTAGATTCAGACTAACTCAACTGCCAATATTATTCTGACATGGAAAGGCAAGCGATTTTAATTTAAACGGTAAAACTAGTACCTATATTCAAAAATGACATGATAATTAATAAAATCGGGGAAGCGAGCTGTTCTAGTGGTAACGGTGCGAGACTTCGGTCCCCGAGGTCCCGGGTTCAAATCCCACCAAATCGCCAATGGATTTTTTCTAAACGATAATGCCTCAGGTCTAACCTGAAATAATATGAAAAACAATCCCGACCTCGTGCCTAGCGTCATAGAACGAACAAAATTATATAAATAAATTAGAAAAGGATTTAGTTTCGAAGCCCATAGAATATTGGCTAATATTGAGTAATCTAACTCACATTTGACGTCTAGTACGATGGCGTTGCTCTCGCCATCTCCCTCCTGGTTGCTGCCCATGCACGTGTAGATGCCCGAGCGTGCCCGTGTGATGTTGAGCAAGGAGAGAGTCTGGTTGGTGATTACGGTGCCGGCGCTGGCGTTGTGAAACAGCGTCCTCCCCTACAATCAACCAATACATGCACTAACCTATAACAGTAGTAGATGCCCGAGCGTGCCCGTGTGATGTTGAGCAAGGAGAGAGTCTGGTTGGTGATTACGGTGCCGGCGCTGGCGTTGTGAAACAGCGTCCTCCCCTACAATCAACCAATACATGCACTAACCTATAACAGTAGTAGATGCCCGAGCGTGCCCGTGTGATGTTGAGCAAGGAGAGAGTCTGGTTGGTGATTACGGTGCCGGCGCTGGCGTTGTGAAACAGCGTCCTCCCCTACAATCAACCAATACATGCACTAACCTATAACAGTAGTAGATGCCCGAGCGTGCCCGTGTGATGTTGAGCAAGGAGAGAGTCTGGTTGGTGATTACGGTGCCGGCGCTGGCGTTGTGAAACAGCGTCCTCCCCTACAATCAACCAATACATGCACTAACCTATAACAGTAGCCTAGTAGATGCCCGAGCGTGCAAGGAGAGAGTCTGGTTGGTGATTACGGTGCCGGCATTTATATTGTGTGCAAAGAGCTGACACCTCCTTCGCTGTTGGTCATATGCGTAAAAAATATTACATGTTTTATAATTGCCCTTGGTATAAATTATAAAAAAAAATGTACGAACTACTGTTGTTCTTGTTCTTAAACAGATACAACACTGCCCTGTTTATTTCATAATTTGTATCATACATTTCTTCGTAATGATTGTTACGACCGTTGTACAGGCATGTTATTATTTATTTTGTAAATTTATTTTATGTTACGTGGAAATCAACCTTATCATTTATAATAAAATCCCTCTTTGACTAACAAAATAACTAACAAGCTTCTTGATAAATAAGTCTATTGTTAATGGTGAAATATTTACAAACTATTTACTAGAACAACTAGGGTATACATTATTCTTAATATTATATTATAAAATTTCATCTAAAGACAGCGTGAAAATGGTGGGTTGAAGACAATGAGAAGGTTTGCTATTGTTATATTCAGACGGGAACAATTACAGTACTGAAAAGTTTAGACACTCAGACAAAGGTGTTCTTCAGATTCTAAATTAATAATTATTGAAACTTGCATAAATAAACATTGTACCTTCAGGTGTAGAAATTATTCTTCACAAATTCTCCGTCTTCACAAACATTAATTGTTGCATCTTAAACATTGTTTATCTACATACATGAGTACAAAGTTGAACCATGACAGCTTGTTAGTATATATTTCAGAAAAAAAGGCATACACTTGTTTTAGGAGAGAATTATTTTTTCAAAGTTAAGTCAATATTTTCATTTACCTTTACTTATGAAATGCAATTTATTAATACAAATAAGAATGAAGTGTGCTATTTGGATTTTAATTTTTTGCTGTTAATAGTAGTTTACAATAAAAAGTAGTCTATGTATGTACCTTTCTGAAAAATAAAGCTTTTCAGGGCCCACTGTTTTAACATAAGGCAACACAACACTTACACAGGAAATTTAACTTACATTATGCCGCCAGCTTATCCTGTATATCCAAGGATTTGAGTTAATTCTGCATTCCATGATAATGTCAACTCCTTCTTTTACAACAGTTGCATTTGGTTTTCCTATTAGCTCCAGATAAACTATCGGAACGTCTGAAATATAAAAGACAGATTGTATAGTTTGATTATTTAAAATGAATATTTTAATACACATTTTTATTCGTATAGTAGGTACATAGTGATGTACAAGTTCATTCTCTTGATACGATTTTGTGTACTACGGTTAAACACATAGCATTGATATAATTCCGTTAACAGTTTGTCCAAGATTTGCGTGATTTTAGAACATCTTTGACCGTTTATATAAACAGAATCCAACATTAGATTATGTAAATAATTAAAATATTAACGTTAAAACAAAACTGTTGTAAAATAAAAGTGTTGATATAAGTTATAGATGAGAGATAATTTTCTATTGCATGTTATTAACAATTAATTTTAAATAGTAGGCTTTAGTTCATTATTTTTTAGGACCCTTCTTAGAGATTGAATGGAACAAGGAGCTAGATAGTCAAATAATCATCACAGAAAGATCCGTTCACATTCAACGAGGGATTAACGTACTACAACAATTCATCAGTCTGATGATACCTTTGTCATTGGTGCGTAGCTACACTCCACACTTCGCTATCTGTATAGTAAACATGCTTGTTACGTTATAAGATAAACCCTACAACCACATGGTAACATATTAAATCATATAGAGCAAAGCTAACCTAGTTGTATGTAAAAAAGAGAGGGATGGGACTCATTATGAGAAATAATTTATAATAAAATCAACTGAGGTAACTGTTAGGGGACGAGCGATGTGAACCGATCCATCCCGCCGCCGGACATTGACTTGTTTGTTTTGCCACTGTTGAGGACTTAACTCAGACCTAATATGGTTAATGTATTGTTATGGAAGATGAGGTTAGAGTAAATTGTTTACCATCCTTCTTCATTTATTTGTTAGTGAGAACTGTCTGGCACTATTATTACTGATTATTATTACTTTACCTTTCTTTTTTGTAGTTGTTTAAGTATATTATTTTAAATTTAACATATCCCTTTATACTTTTATTTAAACTTTAATAAATCTATGATTACGTATTCTGCATCAAATCACTCATCTAGCACATTATTAAAGAAAAAATCTACATAACTACTGTTAACTAAAATTAACTAAAATAAATCTACTGTTTAAATCATTACATCTTACCTAACAAATAGTTTTGCCTGTATTCTAGGCCTGATGAATAAATAAAAAAATACTTTTATTTAATGCCTACAATTGATGCCTACTTTTTAATGCCCTAGGTTACGATTACCACACTACATTGGTCAAACGGGACGCTCATTTTGAACCAGATATAAATAACATCACCCAAACCCAAGAACAGACCTCCAAAAGTCGACATTTGCCCAACGCTTAATTGACTATAATCATGATTTATATGACATAATCATCGGTCTGAAAGTTCTACACCACTGTCATAAGAGCCGCAAAATGGACGTGCTAGAAGAGTTTGAATTTATAAACATCTTAAAACCCAGAATATGAACAATTTCATCCTGAACGACAAACTCCAGTTCCATTCGAATTATATTTTTAACGTCTTGCTCCAAAATAAAAACAACATACATCAGCTGACCACCGGCGCACTGATAAGGAGGACAAAGTAGTAGATGATTCTACTGGAACCACCTCGCACGGCAGTATGTTCCTGCTCGTGGTCGCGGCAATGTCGTTCAAATAGGTAGGCCTACTTAAATGTCTTTTATTCGTCCGTATGTGTTGTCGTGTATGTTTCGTCTTGTGTAAGTGAACTACATGTCTACCTGACTGTACTACAACAGTTCAACAATGGCGTTCTGCCGAAACACATGTAACTGAAGTACAAACTATACTTTTGGAACTGCAGACGAGGTAATAACCTTCACCTTATGTTAGTAACCAAACAAAACCAAAAATGAAACTCAAACTGCATTTTATGTCCTTCAGTTAAATTAGTAGTTATTCTTAAGTTTAGGAATAATTCACAAAGATTAAGAAAGTTAATGTAACTTAAGATACATTGTACTGACGGTATATGTTGAGGGTCCACGAGTCCTGTAGCACGTTTCTCTCAGCAGGGGGTGTGGTTGCTCTGCATGTAAGTTCCTCTCCTGCATCGTCTAATGTAGGAGTCAGCTTCAGCGTGCTGACTGTCACATTCCCGTCCAAACCAACAACCTGGAACCATGCTGCAAACACTGTCACTTTGACCCTCTTCATAACGTTACTTTCAGCAAGAGATGTGGCTGCTTTATACATATCGTCCAATGTGGAAGCTTTGACTATCATTCTTCCATTCCCACCACACCGAGAAACTAGAACTATGCTGCAAACGATTATGGCACTATGGCCCTCTGCACCACCATGTAGTGGTGAATAAAACCTATTTATGAGGTCTATTGGTCGTACATGTAAGAGTTCCGCCAGTATTTGTATTGGGAGCTAGTTAGAACGTGCTCATTTTCCCGTTTACCCTAAAATCCTGAGATGATGCTGCGAATATTGTCCCTTTACTTCTTTGCAATTTGTTTCTCGTAGCAGAGGGTGTATTGGTCCTAATTATGCCAATGGGGAACATAGCCTTAATGTGATCACTGTCACGTTCTAGTCCAACCCAAAATCTCAGAATTATGCTGCAAACACTGTGACTTTGAACCTTTGCAATATTTTACTTTCGACAGGAGATTTTTAGGTTATAGTATTTTAGACTACATCGTGATTATATTGCAACAAATGCGAAATCTTCAAAGCACAATATCTTTAAACATTTAATTTAAAATTTACACAGATATAAGCAACTGTTTGAAGTAGAGCTTTATTAATAACGAAAGAAGTAAGGCAGATGTTCCTACCGATTCTCTAGCGTTCCTCATCGGTTGATTGCCTTTCCACCACGTGATGATGGGAGCAGGACGAGCACCAACCACCTCACAACTCACCTCGTACGTCTGGTCCGCAGACATGGGGCGGTTCTGGCCCAGCAGCCTCACCCACATTGGGTCCACTGCAACAATAACTAACATGTTACTGGCTCACTGGCTATTTAGCCCGACAGAGAGGAATGGGCTTGAAACTGAAAGATGTTTATTTTAATACATCAAGTAAGGTTAGTAATGCACACACTTGCAATAAATTAACTCAGGTATAGGTATTGAACGTACATTAGTTTCATTACATACAGTTAGGTTCAGCGGTTGGTCTAGTGGTAGAGTGTGAGACTTTGTTCCCCAAGGTCCCGGTTTCAAATACTGCGAATCAACAATGGATTTCGTCTACGGATGCCACGACTCATTGTCCCTAGCCTGGAGTGGTTTTTAAACCGAGCACTTGCGGCTAAAGTCTAGCCAAGCGTCCTAGGATGTGGAGGCGGGATATAAATAAAAGGAAAATACAAAATTGTTCTTAGAGTCTGTTAAAATATACCTAGCAAATAAGCATTTTAAAATATTTCCTCCATATTAACTTAATTTTTATGTGAATCGTTACGGGCACGTAAATAAAGAAAACAACTTTGGACTCTTGTATTGTAAACTAATTTTTGTTTAAACTCAAACAAAACCACTTAGTACCTCAAAGTTTATGATTTAAACTGCATTTGTTCTTCTTCACTCTAGTAAGATCCTCTTTTATGTAAAATTAAAATCCAACAATGAAATAACTTTGATAGAAAAGCCACATTAAGGTAATAATTGTAGTTTGGAGAGTGAATGGAATGAAAATGAAAAGCAGTTTCTTCCAACGTTACTAAGATGCTGTGTAACCAGCCGTAGCCAAATCTACAGGTTGGCATTTTAATAAACCCCAGGCGTTTGGAGCTGTGAATGACATTTACAGGTCATCTCATACTTTTCCACGAAAAAAATCTGACGAATTGGTTTTAATCAAAATGGGCTATGGTGGATTTAAGGAAAATATTGTTTGCCAGATAATAGTTCTGTACTTTTATAGTTAATTATTATAAGATTGTTTTTATTGACATTTTATTAGTTGAATAGCTATTTATATTAGACATGTCATAAAAAACTATAATATAATCCAACTCAAATTTAATTTAAGGATATTTTTATCATCAAAATCCAAGGTGTTAACAATATTGTGGTTTCTTTCCAAATTTAGTTAAATACTAATGCTGAATATAAAATCAATTAGACGTCATTGGCTTACTAATATTTCTAAAATAAATTACAATAATTTGAACCTACAAGATTAACTTTTGTTTATGTAACTGTAGTTAGAATAGAATTAAAATAAAACTAATGAAATGAAAAATTCAAGATGAAGAATATCTAAAATAGATTTGGTTATAAGTTACTATAAATATTTTAGAAAAAAGAAGGCACTGTTTTTGATCCTATACGTCCAAATGGAAATTTAAGAGCCAATTCACTGTACAAAAAAGTAGTCTGAAATATAATTGTAATATGTAAACGTCTGAAAGTATCATGACGTATGAGGAAAACGTTGTAAACGAGATTGCTACTTGAATGCCTCTCGGGTACAGCAGTGATGCGGTTGTCTCATGTATCCATGTTTAATTATTTATAATACATAACTCATTTATATTTAGACGTAGAACATTTGCTGTAAAGATCGTTATTTGACTTTTTGCTCATTCCCAACTGAACGATTCAGGAGGTGTTTAAAATCGTATGCTGTGCCTCAAAATATACCTGTCAAAGAAATAGTATGTTTAGCCGATTGCTATTCAGATAATAAAAACGTATTACGATAGTATGACACATAGTTTATCTGGGCCTAAAAAAATCAACCCCTTTTCGCAACCTTCTGGATTCGTATGCTTTTGCTATTAATAATTGTCATGAGACTTACGCGCATATGCGCTTGTAAATGTATAATTTTAGGTGTAGTGTACGTATAAAAGGTCGCAAAAAAATATTTTTCACCAAAATACACTTTTTATAGACTTTCGACCAATCAAATTAGTCTGGAAAACAGCCGTTTGCTGCCTGCTTAATCTCATGGGGGTTTCATTTCGCTCTACTGTACCGTAATGAATTTATTCGCTACACTAATGTGAAATAACCTATTTTCGTTACATGTTTATCACCTGCTAGAATTCGTCACTAATTGCTTACTATGGAAAAAGAATGCTTACTATGTGAATGTAATGTTTACTATCTATTTTGGATTTTTCCGACGGAAACAAACAAAGATTTGTTATTGTTTTGTCAACTGTTTCAATTTTCAACAACCAAACCAGTAAAACCAAATTAAGTAACAACCTTAATTGAAGGCATAACCTAAAAAACTATATGAGTGTTGAACTATATTGTTCCTAACTTTAATAAAGAAATATCCAATGTCTGTTTTAATTAAGAAAATAATTATTCTTTGTAGTGTAGCGACAATTCACGTTCAAAACACGAGTGAAATTGGGTTTATACATATTCTCGACCAATTAAAGTGCTCGATAAATCTCGCACTTCAAACATGGTCTCAAATATTTATTGAATAACTTTCTACTCTTGTTATGAAATATACCAAAGTTATGATTAGTGAGTGATTGTTAAGTCCCTTGTTCGTGGACATATGTTTTTATCATGGATCCGTACAGTTTTTATTGATTTTTTATTGTAATGTTATTTTAGAGTAGTATGGCGAAAAATATCGCACTTCGCTCGCCCAAAATGTGTTTACACGTAATCTACTTTTTGGTTATCTTGATTGTTATTCAGAGGAGAAGTTATAAATCCATGTCATCGACCTTTGTAGCATAAATCCAACTGCACGGCTTTTGAATAAAGTATTTAATTTCTAAATCTAGGTAAGTGGTTAAGGCTTACTACCTAGTGTGATTTGAGAAACATTGATGAAGTTAGTTATGCTCACTTCAAAGTGTATTTACTTGAAAGTCTACCTATATTAAAAACCACAAGAGAATCACCTAGCAGCATGGTACTGACGTGAAGCAGCAATACAGTAGTTGACATTGACGTAACATAAAATAGATATGTTTTACCCAAGTTTTCCAGGAAACGTAAAAAAAGAATACATGTAAAATGTCACTACCTTTCATTAAGTAAACGAAACCCTTTGATATTGCTAGTGTAAGAAAGACCGACTAGTTGACCATGTCGACAGAGATACAGAGATACAAATTCTAACAGAGATTCAGTATAGTTAAAACATGGGTTCAGGGTTATTCCCTTTCTCAGAAAGGTTAAATAACTCTTGTTTAATCATCCTACTAATATTATAAATGAGAAAGTTTGGATGTATGGATGTATGTTTATGACAAGTGAACGCGAAAAATACTGGTCGGATTGGGCTGAAATTTGGCATGAAGATAGCTCACATTCCCGATTAACATATAGGCATATTCTAATTTCAAAAATCCTTTTGGGCTCCGCCCCAGTGGCTCTGGAGTTTCCCATGTTAACCTTATGAGAAATGGAATTATTGAATCTTAACAGCTGTTTCAATTAAACAAGTTGGTTCTGTTCTTTGATGTTCAATAGCATTAAAGTTACAAGGATAACCAACAGGGTGCAGCACTATTATTTATTTTACATTTATGACAACAGCTAATTTGCAACCAAAAGGTGAGTGAGCGTAGCGAACGAACTTTAACCTGGAGGCGAGTTAGCGTAGCGAACGAGCTAACCTGAAGGCAAGTGAGCGCAGCGAACGAGCTCCAACCTAAAGGTGAGTGAGCGTAGCGAACGAGCTCCAACCTAAAGGTTAGTGAGCGCAGCGAACAAACTTCAACCAGGACGTGATTGAGCCATGCGAACGAGATAATCTTGAAAATTAAGAAGTTAAACGGGGCAAAGCCCGCGGGTTACAGCTAGTACATAAATACTAACAAAAAACATAAACACTACACTTGTTTATCTTAATTTCATCCGTTCTAAAGATCATTGAATTTATATTCATTCTCTTGCCAATGATCAAAGGAAACAGTAAATTCCATTCAACTATTGACTCCAATTGTGCCATTGTATACTCAATTATTATTAATAATGACTATAGTTTCGGGGCCAACAGCCCCATTGTCAAATTTTCTGTCTTGTTAATTACTGTTTATAGCATTGGTCACCGTTGAAGTACACATATACACATACACTGACACACGAAACATTTATATTTACACGTAACATTGAAAAATTATACTTTAGTTCGGCTAACATGAATCAGTCAGTCAGTGTACCGGTCCGCACAATGATGTAATCACTTTTGTTTAGGCCGGCCAAAAAGTATAATGTATTATTAATATTCAATAATATAACTTGGTGTATAGTATTCTCTTTGGTTCAATATAATGAGTTGTGTAGCAAAAAAAAAAATCCACAAAATGTATGAAAACGCAAAATAGTTCAGTCAAGTGCAAAATTAAGAAGTTAAAAAAGTTTCCACCATCATGTAGCAAAGCATGAAATCTTTGGATCTTGCAAAAATGCAAAGCGTAGCTAAATTATTTTCACCATTAAAGACAGACACTTCCTCTTAATAGTATTATTGATTGTACTTCTTCAAAAAAAGGAAATACAATATTAAATACAAATTCGTATTACTTGTACCAGGATAGATTTGTTTATTTATTTGCGTATTATGTTGTAATTTTGTTCACTGTATTGTTTTCAAAACAATCTTTTTTTCATAGAACCTGAACCTATGTTGCTCAGTTGGGCTACAAAATAGTGACAATCAATGCAAACATGTGCAAACGGAATAAATAAGCTCAAGTGTATAAATATAGGCGAATACAAAGTTTACAACGGAAAGGGCAGGGCGGAGGCGACTGTCGAGAGGTGCAATATGGCTGGATAACTGCCAACACTCGTTTTTTAGCTAAGCACTTTCGGAAATCAATTTCACGTAAAAAGCGCTGCTGACTCTCAAAGAATGCCAAGCCGCCCGTAACGTAGTAATATACTGACGAGGGGTTTTTATGAGTAATGCTATCTTTACGACTTTTGTTTACATGCACGCACTTAGTAAACCGACAAGGGTTATTACAGTTTTTCCTCTTGTTGTTACGTGAGAGCCTTCTCCACACGTGAAGTGGAACGTTTGCATTAAGATAGTTTGCATAAAGAAAACGGTCGTGATATGCCCATAAAATAGATAAAAAAAATTGTGGGTAGAATTGACTTTTTGAAGCTATTGTTTTGAGATCATCTGTTATTTACACCTTCCTAACTTAATTACTAGATATATCCATTCCTACAATGCTAACTCGAAAATGAATAAAAATAAGGCGAGAAAAGTGTGCATAAAAAAAAAATCTGAAAATGAATTTGTCTTTGTGATCCCAAAATTATTTTTCCTGGTGAGGATGACTATTTTAACAACCTCAACCTCAGCCATACGTTTATTTTAGGCTTTGTTAGTTGAAGTTTCAACTTAATAGTAAAATATGATAATTTTGGATATATTTGGCCACCTAGCGATTAAACGCTGAGTATTCTAGTAATAAATGTAACATTAAACTAACACTTTTACGGTAAGTGCACAGAGTTAGAGCTAGTGAGATAAGATGGGTCCTTCACTGCACGTGCTTTATTTATCAGTATGGTTGAGCCACCCAGCTTTTGTCCTTACCAAATCTCCGACGCTAGAGGGTTGATGTTTTTTTCCTATATTTGGAAAATTTGATTCAGACTCACATTCTAAATACATTATAACAGTAAAAGATCAAATCTGTTAGGATTTATAAGTAAAATACTAAATTGCCTTTAAAGATACGATGGTCAAATTAAAACGAAATGGTCCCTATTAAAAACAGCCAAAAAAAGACAACAATACAAAGACTATGGAATTAAAATTTTGATAATAATTTAGTTGTCGTACCCGCAGCTCCAATAACAACTATTTCGTAATGGCACTAGTGTTACATACACTAGATTATTTTTTCCGTAGGGTTTTGTTAGCTAACTTGCAAATAAACTATCTAACTTTAGTAATTTTCTATTCACCTGATTTAATAATTTTTGTTTTTGACAAAAGCAAAAATATAGGCCTATACGTCTAATGACACTTGTAATAATATATTTACACTTATACTGTTAACTTACAAGACATATAACCTTTATAACATATATAAATATAACATGTAACTATAAAAGTTGGTAAGAGGTATTTACCGTCTTGTAAGCCAACAGTATAAGGGTAAATATATTATTACAAATGTTATTAGACGTATATATTTTTGCTTTTTTCGGGTAATTTATTAAAACGTACGATGCTAATCACGAAGTTATTAATTTTTGTTGGCTAAGCTCGAGTCCAAAACTGTTTTTACATTACTTCAGGCCTACATGGGACGCGGCATTAAGACATAACCCTTGGTCCATGGGGGAATTTTAATCTGAAACTCTACTATTAGACTTAAAGTAACATAGTAGGCCTATAGACTGACGGTATGTGTAACAAGATACTATGTACTAACAGTATAGGTCGAGTGTGACTGCGCTAGAGATGGGCGCCACCAGGTTGTTGTTGGCCGCCTGACATGTAAACACTGTGTGGAGATGCCTCCTCTCCAGCCTCTCAAGTCGCAGCACGTTGCGTACACGACGCTCAGACAACGTCTCGTACGAGTCGTCCAACAGAGCGTTCTCCTGCCACCAGGTCACCTTCGGCAGAGGCCGTCCTGTAACATGGAGACACTACGGTAAAGTTTACGTGTAGGTATTTATACACTTGTTTATGTTTTAAGATCTCAAGACTGGAATACATTCGACTGGAACATACGATACTGGTTATTTAATTACTATAACTATCATATCTTAATAACTATCATCTAGTTATTTAATAGAAAGATGCAGAGGTGTTTCTGTGTAAATTAAAAATTAATGGCTTACGTATAAATTACACTAATTATTCATCACCAAACTCATGTAATTTGAAACTTATTAGTGGGAAAGTAAAATACAAAAACCTCTTTTAACTCCTGGGATGAACATGTCCATTAGTCCTATTGTATCTTCCCAAATTTAAAATCGTCTTTGATAACGAAATAAGTATTTTTTTTTACGTTGTTAAATTAAGCCACAAAAATAGTACGCGTATGTAGATCACTGATTTATATTCTATCCGTCGAATTTTTAATCACATCCAACTGATAGGACAACTCAACGTAAGTTAAAACACCTTTAACTAATTTACACACTAACTATCTCAGTATGAAAAAACTTAGGGAAAAAATATAATTTTAGACTGTAGGTGTGAGTGGCTCATCCATATGCCCCTAAAATATGAAGAGGGCAACAGCACTGTGTAATTTTCATTATTTGTTACTTAACTAAGGTGTAGACTCAAACCGACCCAAACTGTTGAAACTTTGTAACGGCTACATACATGCTATACATGTAAGAAAAAGTAAAAAACATTACAAAAACATGAAAACAAATTTTGTTAAAAGTTACAAAAGGGATGTTGAATTGAAATGTTTTGGTGATCGGAGTTTACTTAAACCAAAAATACGTTATAAAAATCGAATATAAAAACAAACATTTGGCAAACGAGCGGAAAAGAGGCAGTGAAATCCAGTGAGCGTGGCTGGGCCGGGTGCGGGAGGAGTTTTTGTGTGATGACTTATGACGAGGCCCAATCGACTGCCAACGTTTTATAACGTTTTTGATAAACGAAATCGCTTTCGATGTTGTTCTCATCCGCTGAGCCGCATTATCAGCCGATCTTAATTGAAACCGATTTACAAAAATTGTGTATTTCATGTGTCTGTTTTTTTTTTTTTTTAATACGCAGTAAAATTTAGTAACTAGAGAAATGTACTCACTTTACATTTTGTACTCTATTTCTGCAATATTGGAAATTAAAAAAAGTATCTAACACCAAGATTTGTGTGGACATATTAACACCACTCCTTGCTTAACACTACTCTTAACAAATGTTAGCCTTAGATTTTGATAAGCAGAGAGCCTCAACTAAAGTTAATGAAATTTATACCATAATGCTTTTTATGTGATATTTATCCTTTCTTATAAACCTTTCGGCAATAGATTTTAAACTATAAATCCATAATAAAATCCTCAAAACAATAATGTTATACTGATGTTAGATGCAATGTGATGTATGCAGTATACAGTACCTCCAGTAGAAAGACAGGTGATCTCCATGCTGGCACCTTCAGTGTACGGGCCGAGGATGTAATGTTGAATGTGAGAACCTCTTTCATCTAACACACTCAGCTTCTGTGGTGGTACTGCAATACATATAAGCATCTTCGTATCGGTTATAATTTCCAGAATACAACTATACGTATTATTGATTAAAGTAACAACTGACTTTGTTCAGAACAAAATCTTTTTTAGTTCAGATAACAAAAAAAATATTTGGTTTTACCAAGCAGTTTGGCAGAAAATGTAATCTACTAATTGAGAGTAATTGCCAGATTTACTATTGTTCTGATTGTTTAATAAGCCCGTGAAAAACTATAAATAGAAAAGCCAAGTAATTTGTCCTATTTTCAGTGATCGGTAGGCTCTGTGATCAGCTCATAAATTTAAATATTTTGAGATAAATATTTTTGGTTATAACATATTTTATAAGTAAATATGGTCTTATTTTAATACGTAAGAAACCCTTTTACGTTACATAACTTTAATAGACTTGTGCTTCCGTAGGGAAATTTTTGGAGATTTATAAAATAAATAATATAAAATGGCAATTAAACATAATAATTTTCTACTAAAATTCGCTTAACCATGTTTGATTGTTCCCCATAGAATGGCATTAGGTTTTAAAGGGAAGTCATATGTTATGTTACGTTAATAACTGTATAAAAGAAATAAATTTACCTAATTTAATCAAAAGAAGGATATCATGTGGATCACATCAAGTAGACTAGATGAACGGATATGGCATTTCTAATACAAGAACAACAATTGATAATCGCATTAAAATATATTTGTTCTAGAGGTTTTATACTAATTGAGCCAAGCTCATTTACTACACCACTGCGTTTTTTTTAATACTCCTCCTGAACGGCTGGGTGATCCGCACGAAATTATGACTCATAATAACCACTTATGGGAAGGTATAAATCTGAAATGGTAAAAATCGGACAACAGGGGTTTTTACTATTTGAATAAGGAAAACAATCTTATAAATTTATCATGGAGCTTAAGAGTTTAGGTCAGTTTAGGTATTGGTCACCGTGACAATTTTGCATGATAATTATAAAAGCGTAACCAAATCATTGATGTGTAATTATACATTGATGAATGAAATGCGTTTGTAACACATGTTTATACAGGGTTAGTAAAAAGTGTGGAGACCCCTTGTTATTTTTTTAACGGCCCATACTAGAAAAACTAAACTCGGCACACCATTATAGCATGTTATGAAGTACTTTCTGGGCATAACCACCACTTGGTGTTCGTCCCCAAAATGGGGGATTTTGGGGGAAACTCAAATATTTCAAATACAAAGACCCATCGAGTGACCCCTCCTTATGAAAGTCCTGGTAAAAGAAAATCAACAACGCAAATTAGAGGTCTCTATCTCAGTTCAGTAAAAAATGGCAGCCAATTGAAATTCTCATAAGTTCTTAAACCCAAAATGGGGAATTTTGGGGGAAACTCAACATTTTTTAATGATAATCCCCATCGAGTGACCCCTCATTTTAAAGGTCATTATAAAAGAAAACTAACAACTCAAAATATAGGTCTCTATCTTAACACAGTAAAATATGGCAGCCAATTGAATATAAAATTGCAAGTTATTACCGATTTCTAAAGATTTTAATCAGCTTCCATTTTTTACTGGATTGAGATAGAAACCTCTAGTTTGCAATGTTAGTTTTCTTTTACCAGGACCTTTAAAATGAGAGGTCACTTGATGGGGCTTATCTTTTAAAACTTTTGAGTTTCCCCCAAAATCCCCCATTTTGGGTTTGGTAAGCAAGTGGCTATACTTCATAACATGCCAAAAAAGTGTGTAGAGTTTAGTTTTCCTAGTGTGAGCCACTAAAAAATTTACAGGGGGTCTCCAGACTTGGAAAACTGTAAGTTAAATTTAACTTCTGAGAATTTCAATTGGCTGCCATTTTTTACTGGATGAGATAAAGACCTCTAGTTTGCATTGTTGGTCTTCTTTTATTAGGACCTTCAAAATGATGGGTCACTCGATGGGTCTTTGTATTTGAAATGTTTAAGTTTCCCCCAAAATCCCCCATTTTGGGGATGTACACCAAGTGACGGTTATGCCCAAAAAGTACTTCATAAGATGTCATAAAGGTGTGCCGAGCTTAGTTTTTCTAGTATGGGCCGTTAAAAAAATGACAGGGGGTCTCCACACTTTTTACTAACCCTGTATACAATCAATTAATACACACGCTTTTAATATACAGAACAAAAGTAACGAGCAAACGGATTATTAATGTTGAACATAATATACTGCAAAATGAATAACCAATTAGAGCATATGAACCACTGACTTTATAGTGTATCCTGCAAATTGACGTCCCATTTACGTAAAACATATGCACAATTGAATTTGGGTACTGTAGGTAGACATTCCACTTACGTGATTCATATGTACCATTTATTGACTTTGAAAACTGTAAGTAGACATGTGATTTACTTGACCCAGATGTACCATAGAATTTGGAAACTTAAAAAAAACTGCAAGTAGACATTCCATTTTTGTTAACCCGAACCCATTGGGAACAATCAATAACTCTTGGTTACATTTCTTAAAATAATCAGATTGATACGTTTGCCCCGCACAATATTGCGAGTAGAACTGTGATACTCACGGATGATGGTGAGGTTGACTTTAGAGTTTCTCGTGGGTGATTTGCGGAAGTCCACCCTACAACGGTACAGACCAGCATCGCCCTCTCTGATGTGCCTGAGCTCCAGTCTAGAGGGCTCGTCCTTGTACCTGAAGTATGCCCTCTCTCCCAGGGATGAGTCTGCTGCCCAGTGAGTGCCCTTCTCTGGCGCCGTGCCGCGAGCGTCGTAACTAGCATGATAGAAACAAACCAGTGAAACCACATACGAAACATTAATTTACAGTATATCCAACGAATACTAGAATACCGGTATGGATCATATACGTAAAAAAATTACGTTTACAAAAGTAAACCCCAAAAGTAAACAAAACTTCTCTACTTATAGCATTAATTAACTTAACTTAACTCCGGGTTTAACTAAAATAAATTAACTCCGGGTTTGTTTACTTTCGGGCCAATAACGTCATTTGTTTATGTTTATGATCCATACTGGGTCTTTTCTTGTATTTGTAGTATATCCAACATCAATATTAAGTTAATGTGAATGTAAATTGAAATAAACATGACAGCATTGAGTTGAACTCAACTAATTTTGGAATGATAATATTTAATATAAACCGAGAATCAAAAGCTTAGTAGTCATCAATGCCTGCGAGGTTAATGGTAATGCCTTTTTTTATGTACCTAGGACGCTAGGTTCTAGTCCGGAACTGTTTTACAACTTCAGGGTAGCCCTAGTTGGTTGCGGCATTATCACATGGATAAAATATATTAGTGATTTGGCAGGATTTGAACTCGGAGCCTCGGGCTCCGAAGCCACCCGCTCTACTATTAGACCCCTTGCTCATCAATTGTAATTCCATTGAACTTCTTTCCCGTTCTAGTTAATCGTTAAACTTGATATTGCTGTACATGCATGCACAAAAAAATACTAAACAGACACATTTGTTTACCTAAAAGACTTTGTGGAACCTGGAAACTGAATATAGAACAAATTAACTATAGCTTTCCTGTTAGCACTTAAGTAACAGGATGGTCAATATTCAGCTCAAAATTGTATTTAATGAATCAAATACAACTTTGGTTTTAATATTGACCTTCTTAAAAGTAACTCTCAAAATTCCTGGTAGTAGCTTTAGATGACCGAATTGTGTTTAGGAACGTCTTGCGCTACACTGCATCTAAAACTGCAATTCACAGAAATCCACTAAATCAAGTATATTAGATTAGGCAACTGGTTCGAAAAAGTATCAGAGACTTGTGTGAGGCAGATGAATTTCGATTCAACAATTAATTGGCCTCAATTATAAATTTAAATGTAGCTAAAGATGTTAGATGATCAGGACTTTAAAAGATTTTTAGCTATTCATACCAACGCTTCTATTGTATACAAAGTGAACCTGTGTGTTTTGCACGGAACTTAAATAAAAATTTCTTCTGATGACAATGAGTTTATTCAGTTGACAAACTAATAAAAATAAGGTATGTAATAAAATATATTCAGATATGGTTTTTTTTCAAATTGTGCGTGAATTAAAAATCTCAAGCTATGTTGGAGATTTGCGCACTTAGTGTTTTGATGGATAAATTAAGGGGTAGATTCTTAAAACGAAATAACTTTATCAGAAAAACAAATTTTATGTAGTGTATTGATTATTGGGATATCCACGAGTTACTGAACTTAAAATATTTTTTTCTTGTTGTATTCGCCAAGGTTTTTACTGTGTTGTACTTATTACATAAAAATTATTACTTCTAAAGGTACCTGTAAATAGGTAGATCTATTGAGTCCTTGTACCAGATGACTAAGTGGACCTTGTCATCGTGTACAGGTGGGGAGAGATCACAAGGGAGCAACGCGGTGAACCCAGCCACTGCCTCTGCTGACACCACGTCCACTGTAACATGTAGCCCAGGGTTAGTGTATAAATTTATAACACATGTTGCTCAGGGTAAACATATTTAATTAATGTGAAAAAAGTCAATTCCAGCTGGTGCTTATACAAGTATAGACATTCAAGCCAGTGATGTCAATCATTTATGTTTATAATCCACACATAAGCTAATATGTGTGTAGTAATTATTCTGAGTGCAGCTCTAAAAATGTCTGCCTTAATTGTTTTGTTTGCCTAGTGGTTCTAGTGCTCACCTTCAAATTTGTAGTTTGCTGGTTCATTCCCAAGTGAGATCGTAACCAGACCCACCCCACAGGCCATTATTTCCTAAACTAATTAATGATCATGTTTAGAAAAAGGTTGAGGTTAGGTAGTAGCAAGACCAGGGTTTGGACCATAATTACACATTATACGTTAGTAAATTCCAATAGCGCAGATAAATAAATAAAATTTTGAACCCGCTTTTGAACCAAAACCAGTTTAAACCGAATAATTGATTCCCGTGCGTAGGACTGGTCTACAGTTAGATCATAATTAAAAAAAAAAAAAACAGTTCTAGTAACTCTTTGTTCAGTTTTGATTTAGAAACAGCTTAAGGGTGAACTCCACTAAACCTTTGAGACGTGATCGATAGAAGAAAGGGATGGACATAATTCCACTCAGATAACTGAAATACCCTTAAGGTATCTTTTAATTCTACTTTTTCTATCGGATGCCTTGAAGTAATCAACATCTAGTGTTCTTGTCTTGATTGTAAATAAATATTGACTTATCGTCATAGATTACAATAGCTTTTTAGGTATATAATATTTTTGTGAAGATTTTAAACTTTGATTTATATTGATTCAATATTGAAACATTTAAATGTTTCAAAATTGTAATGCTCTTCAGTGAAACGATGAAATGAATGTATCGTTACAGTTAAAGGTTGATAAGTTGTTTGGATTTCCTTGAGATGCTTACATCTTACATCTGTTTGCACGCAAGATGTCATAAACATTTGACGCAGCGGCGGCTCAATACATAGCTTGGGCTGACCTGGTCCTCCGCCAACCAGCGTCCCGCTGTTAGTGCTAGCCTCAGTGTGGTATTCAGCAATCTTACGACCCAACAGAATAGTAATGATCACGTCTTCCTTGTAAATTTAATCAAAGTACGCACATCAAACTAATATATCAATAGCCTAATATAATATAGCCTTATCAATCTGTGCATATATAATATAGGTAGAGTGAGTTAAAAATGAGAAACCCAAATTCTTCCAAACACCCTTACTGCGCGGCGTTGACACTAGACTACCGGTTTATTTATGATCAATAAGAACTCGCTTGGAAAATAAAATAATTTTAATTGAGGTATTTAATGCGTTTTAGTTGAAAAAGTATAGCATATATTGTAAAAAAATGAACTGTGGAGATTTAAACAAATGTATTAATGTTTTTTTATATTCGTTATCAATTTTAATCAAACAAGGAAAATGTTGTCATTTTAAACATGTACGATTTTCCGTTGCTGTCACTATTGACATAAAAATCAAGCTTAAGATTAGTTAAACCTAAATCGATTACTGAATTATAAAGAATACGAATAAAAACGAAATTTTAATGTCTTGCTACATTGAAATAGTATATCAATAAAACCGTTGTTGCCTTGTAATAGAATAATAGTTTGTTGTTTAGAAAGGTCAAAAAATTTGAATCTTATCACAGCTTCAAACTAGTTATAGCTGTAAAAACCAGTTTTAGAGACTATGCTTAAAAAGTAGAAACAATTAAGGGAAGTCTTTATGAGTCTACATCTCACATTTTACATTTAACTTAAAACAAAGAATATGTGTTTTTTTCATTCAAAGCTCTTCATAAAATATATATTAAAAAGAATAGATGCATTAAGCAAAGCATATCATGTGCATGAGATATTTGCTTATGTAGGATATCATCTGTGTCTTATTAAAGTACGTTAGGTATCGTCAAATTTATGATTTATATCTTATGTTTGGCCATTATCCTGGAAATAACGGTGTCGGGTAATACCCATTATTCTAATACATCACAATAAGTGTTAAAAAAATCCTCTCATACCGGTGTAGATAAATCAAATTAAAATAAAAATGGCAAATAATTGCACTGTAAAAATATACATTAGTAACCAGTTCAACCCAATAATCTCGTATTGCTTCATATTTGGAAAAATATATACCTAGTATGAGTATGAGTATACTATTTACATATCCTTTATTATAATTCTTATCTACTTACTGGGTTAAGAACAATGTTATTGTGTACTAGAATAGGTAAACAAAGGTTCTAAGCACAAAAATATAAGTAATTAGCATTTCCAGGCCAATGTTTATATGGATATTTTCTTAACTTTCGCGTATAGTCAGGATTGCTTAGTTAATTTCATAGTTCATTTGATCCAAACTGATTAATCAGTTATTTAGGCATCCACCTTTAGAGATGACCAACTATTTGCCTAATATGGATTGTACCAAAGTAGATTGGAAAACCTAATGTTAATCTAAATTTTAAATAAAGTCTATTGTTCTATTTTCACTCAAATGGATTTGTGGCTTTCATCTATCAGTTAGGTTCATTATTGTCAGTGGTCAGGACAATACTGGATTGGTCTCTCATTTATGCACATAGTAATAAATTGGATTTAATCAGCATCTAATACACTAACCCATTTTGAGCAAGAGATTTCATAGTTGTTGGTCGACAAACAGTTTGAGCTTCATTGATTTGATAAATGTGTTGTCCATATTATACTAGGTTTTTATGAAACCAAAATTACACCTAATAATTGATCTTTTTTGGGTTAAGTTCTGAACTACATTTATAAACTTATACTTTAGTTTAATATACGTTTTACTTTAGTTGGATGGATTTTTGTCTTTGATTAATATAGTTGAAAAATATTAATGAAGAGAAAAATACACTGAAGCATATAGCAATTTCAAATGGTTACAATCCTAATATAATTGACGATTTAATCGGGAAACATTTAAGAAAGAGGACTGAACCAAAACCAACTAATCAGCGGTTTAAAAATTCAGATTATGTCCCAGTCGAATATGGTAGCAGATTCCCTCTAACTCTTAAAAATGAATTAAAAAAGCATGGGAAAATTGCAGCTTTTAGAACCAGCAATAAATTGGAAAACATAGTTAATCCAAAGGAAAAACAAAGTATCAATAACAAATCTGGAATTTATCAAGTAACATGCAATGATTGCAGCAAAATGTATATAGGTCAAACTGGGCGATCTTTTGAAAAAAGATTTAAGGAACATATCCCCCGAACCAGGGAAACACAAATATCCAGTTTTGCCGAGCATCTTGTTAATGAAAATCACAGTTATTCAAATGTCAGTACAAATCTAACAGCTTTACATATCTGTAGGAAAGGACGAACTATGACAACTTTGGAAAATTATGAAATATATAAAGCAACAAAAATTCGCCCTAATGATTTATTAAATGATAAAAGCTTGTTCCAGTCTAATATATTATTTGAAACATTAATAGGATTAGACAGAGAGAGAAAGGAATGATAAAGGAAGCCGGGGGTACAAAGTACAACTACTAGGACAAGATAACCTCCAGTTGAGACTCGACATTGAAAATGCATGCATTGCTTCACTTTTGTCTCTCGTTTTTAATTAGTAGGCCTACTGTAAATAGTTTTTTCGTGTTCAAATGTTTTGTAACTGTGTTTTTTAAAACTGTGACGTGACATCATGAGTCAAAAAACTTCAAGTTTGTATATGGATCTGATTATGGTATAACAAATACCGAAACGCGTAATCCTGTTGGATATTTAAGGACCACTAAAGGCAGTCTGCAGGTATTGTAACCTTCTTATTTTGAATATAGTTGATGTCGTTAGAATAGTCTTTATAAAAAAAGTTAACTTTTAATTCAGTTCAAGGTTGAGGGTTAGCGAGTATTTGTCAAGCCGGAGCATATTTGAGTACTTCCAATGGCAAATACTATTAAAGTCTTTATTAAATATGCTTGTATGATACCGCTGTTCATATACATGTTTTAACGCTTACAACTTTCCATTCACTACTATTTATTGTTAATTTAAATTGCCTTTATTGTCAATTTCCATTACATTAGTTAATACTAAGCCTACATCAAGCCTGCTCATATATCCAAGCAATCTATAGCAAAATCTATACTATTTTTTTTTTTATTTAAATACTGCAAAAACTAATTAGTTAATGCATACAAAAATATTGGTAATATATAATTTAAACATTTTGCATTAATATGTAGGGAAACTCCAAGAAATTTAATTTACAGAATTTAATCAGAGCTCCATACTAACACTAGAATTCAGTTTTTTTTTTTTTTTTTTTTTTTTTTTTTTTTTTTTTTTTTTTACTGAATTTCTGTCCTCGATACTAGTTTTACACTCCACCATGTCACTATCAAACTCCCCATCGTATATTTACGTTGATGTCGTACAGCTCTATGCCATGAATCAATAATAATTTATGGTTTTTAACAATAGGGCTATCAAACTCAGCATTACAAGGAAACGGCAAGGTCGATGAATGTATTTTAAAGAGCACAAAACACAGTTATTGTCGTCGGTCGCCTTAGTCACGACATGAGGTCGTTACTCTGATGATGATGTGTGGCTCTGTTACGTCACAGAAAGATGACACACTAGGGAAACAAAAATGACACATAAAAATAGGTTATACCTAATGATTTGTGTTTATGTACTTCCAATATGGATTTAATGGATTTACCTATGTTGGAAACACGTAAATATAATGGTTAATCCATAATTTTCTAGATTTATATTATAGATTCACATAATCCGTGCGTTTCCAACATTAGTAAGTCCATTGAACTACTAATTTACTACCTATGTAAGTGAATAAACGACCAAAAATAGTTTATCTTTGATTTTACTAATTTTAAAGTAACTCAGTTCGCCACAAATTTCTTTGCTGCAGCTTTTTGTTTTATAAATTAACAAACA